ACCAGCAGTGGAAACTCAGAATTTACTGCTTATTCTGAAAATTGTGGTAAGTTATTCACAGCAGCACTTCAGCCCTAGGGTTTTTATTGTCAGGAAAGTTGGCCCAATGCTTAGCCTGATTTAATCCCGGGGAATTTTACAAGTGTTTTGGGGAAATTATAATTTTTTTCTTATAGTCTGTGGGTTTTGAAGACACAGTTGCTTGGCCATCAACACTGGCTCAGCACATTCCGCAGAAAATTTGACATAGACAAACAGTTGCTTACGATGTGGATCACACTACAGTCTATACTGATTTTTATCACCGGTTGTATGCTGCCTGACAATTCAATTTAACCTGATACTTAACCAAGCAAGATTTCTGTGAGCAGATCTGAACCAGCGTGCTGGGGTTTAATGCTGCTTTGTGTCACACTGCCTAGATTTATACATCACCAAATCGTGGTTTTAGTTAAAGGTCAGCCACCTCTCAGTATTAGGTTATTTTCCCAGGCAAAACCTGCAGGTTTGGTTTTCCAGAACAAGACAGGCTGTGATCTCAGCCTGAATTAGGGCAGTTAGTATCTGCATGAATCTAAAGCTGCACACATCCTGTGACAACAGAAAGTTAGCAGTGCCCCTTATTCTGTGAATGGCTTCTAGCAATAAACCTAGTGGGAAGAAAGAAAACATTTTATTAGCTGCTTTAACGCACAATTGTCTCATTCACCGAAGGTAAGGCAAATTCACACCTGTTAACTACTCTCCTTAGCGGTGAGCTGCACTTCAGGCCAGAAGGGGAGAAGTGGCTTGGGTGTGACATACTTTTGCACAAAGCCATTGAAATGCACCTTCTGGATGTGGCAACGTTCTCAAATTAGCCCGAGCACTCCACCTTGTTTATGGAAAAGTTGCATCATCATTTGGAGAAACCAGGAGTGAGGCTACCTCTGAAGACGTGGGCACATGGGTGCATACATAAGAAAGAACGCGCATGTACACGTTTGTATTTGCATATGTGATCTGAAAGGGACCGGTGATAGTCCACAGGGTTCGGTATCTGTGGGAAAGCCCTGGAACTTATCATAGGCACCCAGCCACTCCTCTCTTTCCAGGAGACAAAGTCCAGGACTATGAATAAGTACTACCCTTCACGGGTCTTTCAAGAAATTGCCTCATTTCCTACACCGAGGACAAGAAACTATAGTAACTACCCCAGGCAGTCTGGAAACAACATCGAGCGTTTCAAACAGAATGCCTCATATCGAGCAGCATTTTCAAGCCTGCAGAGAGGATAGAGTAGAGCAGACGCTTTTCAGTTGCTTACAACACTGCTGTGCTCCAGTTTCCTCAGGGCAGGCACATTTATTTTGTCCCACCAAAGGAAACCATCCCAGACCAATTTTCCCAAGCCCATCCCTTCTGCCCATCCGAAGACATCCACAGTGTATCTATCCCTCCTCCTGCTTCGGTATCAACAAGTACTTTCTGTCATCTATGCCTTGTAAAAGCTGTGCCACACAAATCCCTTAAAACAAACATTTCTACAAACAGGAGACCACTCTCTTGAATTCATACTCCCTGCTGTTAGTTCTCTTCCACAATATACTGATACCCCACTGCCATCTCACTGCAGTGCTGTCAGGGCCAGGCTTAGTGGTCTACTCACCTTAAGCAGTACAGCGTGACTGCACATACCTCACATGCATGGACCACTTTAGTTCCAAAATTGGACCAAATGATTTGTCGTGTGGCTGAGCACAACCCTGGGGTTAGATTCTCTTCTAAGGTTGTCTGAGTCATTCTCCCTTAGAAATATTGCTTTCCATGTGCCTGTGGGTACAAAACATGAGCCGCGTTGCTAGAGGAGCATCACACTGATCCCATGCTATGGAGAGGATGCAGAGATCCTTGAGCTGTCGGAGATCCGAGCCAGCAGATCTGAGCTGCAGAGCTGAGCACTGTACAGATGCTCCACAGGGAATGGCTGAGGGCACTCTGCTTCCAGCCCAGGCAGGCCCTCGCTGTGGCTGTGCCCTCTGAGGCTTGGAGCTGGAGGCAGGGCAGACATGACGCAATGCTCTTGGTCCTTTAATATGTAGCTCTTCATCTATATATCTCCAAATTTCAGTTCCTGGGATGTGATGTTCTTGGTGGCAGCCTGAATATAAAATCTGCACTCATTCCTTTTTGTTTCTGCTCTTTACAGGGGCAGCTCTTCAGGGCCAGGTGGTCTCCTTGTTGGTCTTGGTACAGCACATCACAACAGGGTTTGCTACAAGCCTTGCTTTCTCCTGCTGCTGAGGTGGTGCAACATGGTATAACAATGAGTCACCAATCCTTTTTCAGACTGGCCATGCTGAAGACAACTCCTATTCCCTCTAAAACCCTGACTGTTGCTGTTTGGTGTGTCACCTAACATATCATATTCTGATTTAACCAAGACTCCAAAGTGTAGAATTTCTTATTTTGGAATTCTTACATATTTCAGTTAATGAATAAGAAGAAAATTCACCTTTATTCTAAACCAACCCAAAACAAAAAAGGCAACAAAAAAGGAGCCTACTTGTGCTTAATTGTTATTCTAATTACAAGTTGTGGTGTAGTGTAAATTTTTTCCCTTGGCATTATTATGAACCTCATTTCCTTACAAAGTCCAGGATAAACAATTCCAATATATTTTGTTTTAATTATCAGGGTTTAATGGGGCATAATGAGACTATGTTGAGTGGCGCAGAAAAAAAAATAATTTAATGTGTGCAAAACTACTGAGTGCTCCTAGCTTGCCTGTGCATATTTCACCTATTGTAGGGCAGCACTATGTTAGCTAATATTCAGTGTGCCCATCATTTATTTATTAATCATACTTGCTTTTCAATAGAAAATTTTCCTTTTTTTTTTTTTTCCTGGGTTCTGAAACAAGAAGAAACACATTAAGATATCCTAGAAAAAAATCGAACAGTTCTCTAGGTTGAGTAGTGAAGGATGAAGCTGATACACAGCTGATGGTGCTGGAAGCATTTGTCGTGCATGGACAGAAGATGAGTATGTTGGACACAGAAACTGCCTCTGCCAGTCTGCTCCAAATGCTGTCCTTCTTCCAGTGTTACTTGGCTGTGAAAACTTATGACTTCAGTTCTTAGGGCCTCTACCAAAAGAAGCACAGCTGATATCAGCTGAAGTCACCATTCAGAGGTGACCTTGTCTGGACTCTCACTGTAGATACATTTTTCCACTCCCAAGGTGTGGTTCCTACGGACTTAAAACACCACAGGTACTTCTGCAATGAAAAGGGAAAAGTGCAAAAGAGCAGCCTGGGAAATAAACCAGTAAAATGTGATCCTTTATGACCCTTTAAGCTTTACAAGGTCCCTTTGCCAATGCCAATTGCCCAGCCATGGCTGGGTGTGGCTGATGCAGCAGTTAGAACCACCCTGCTACCAGATTTGCATTTCACTTCACTAGGGTGACCATACACCAAGATCAAGATGCTTTCATTTCAGGAACAATCACTGGATCCTTCCTGAAGAGAAACTCATTTATTCTGCTTATCCATTATACTTCTTGACACAGAATCAGAGGACTAGATACAGTACTCACCATAGCCATTGGGAATGTCCTGTCTTCTGGAGAAGTATTTGATTCAGGCCTCTCGGGAGGAGGTTCAAATACAACATACAAACCAGACCAATGTCACATTACATTTATTAAAAAAAATCAACATTTTATATTACAGATTAAGTTAATATACCCAAAGTGTTTGGGTTTTAAATAAAATAAATTTATTATAGACACCAGTATTTACAGAAAGAAAAACATCACATAAATATATATATTTTTTTTTAAGTCTCATTGGAGTAAAAAAATTCTCCATGAAGTTTCTACCCTTGGGAGATGTCACATTCTGTGAGAAATCAGCCTCCTTCAAGGATTAATAGAGACAAGAAACCTAACCCAGATAAAGGTACAACTCAGTGAATTGACTGAGGAGCTGTACTGGGCTAGTTACTTGCATGAAACTGTAGCAAGACTGAAAGACCTCAGGGGGCCCCTTACAAGTCTATGACCTATTCTTCAAGGAAGAATGGAAGGGAATCATTGAGTACATTCCACCAAACTTGCCTCAGACACAGGACCAGGCCAGCATCCAGCACGTTCCCATGGACCTCCAAAGCTTAATGGTTTTCTTCCTGCTAAACTACGAGTATTCTGACCCAAGTTTAGGATCCCATTGTACAACCACTGTGCAAACACACAATCTCTGGTGCCACACAGCTGAATAACCACAGTAGACAATGGTAGAAGAGAATAATTTTACAGAGGAACTGGCTGACCCTTCATTATACAGAGTTGCAGCCCTGAGTCAGAAGCCAAATGTGCTGATTCCCAGACAAATACTGACTTTTGCATTCCCTCTGACTGGCTAGCAAGTACCGTGGGGACTTACAAGGAGGTTTCTGCATTTGGTAGAGCTGCATAAAGCACAGGGAAGAAGTGCTTTTCCCAATAATGCATCATCAGCAGGTGGTAGAGGTCTCCAAGATGAGCTGTGGGCAAAAACCCTGAAACCTCAATGTAGGAATGTACATCCCTACTGGATCATGCAGCCAAAACTGAATAAGGTTGTGTTACTAAGACACCTGCACCCCATCTTGGATTGAGGCAGGATACCACACCTGTTAAATTACAGAAAATTCTGAGCATTAATATACAGAACAAGACCTTAATCTCAACAGTCAACTTGATCTGTTTCAACTCCTTCACATGGGAGGTCCTGATTTTAATAGTTTCCTGTGGTGTACAGGCACTCAAAGAGCTCTCCATGGAGGTCTTGAAGTTCACAACTCTTTAAGTCAGCCACCTTTCCACAGAGCCATGGTAAGAGGAAAAGGATTTAATGTACAGATAAGTTTCTGGCTCTCCTGCCCTGTAAACTGAAATACCATCTCTTCTGGTATCTTCAGTGACAAATGGGGAACTGAATCCAGGTGCACACCAAATACAGACAAAAAGAGGTCCTGCTAATGACAACCACATCTTGTTGCCACCATGTCTTCATAATTTTTAAGGACCACATTCTCTTTGTCATCAAAGTAGAGAAGGTTGAGGGACTTCAATTGATCTGGTACACAGCAGGGCATGCTGACATCTTGAGACAGTTTCAGTGTATGGACGATGGACTGAACTGTAGCATGGTTTGTTGCATTCAGACTTTCCCCCAAAGGGAAGAGACAGGACCCTCTGCAATAAAATGCGTTGTATCCACTCGGATGAATAATCCATCCCGACCAGCCAATAGCATGGAAGTCTACATAGAGTTCCCTTCGATGACATGCTGTTACCTGGCTTTTGGCAGAAGGGACTGGGGCAGCTCGAGGTCTCCTGCCCATGCTTGCACTGCTGCTTTTGATGACATCAGTTTCATGAAGCACATGTGAAGTATCAATTTTGTCAGGGTTTATTTCTGATTCTGAAAGGAAGTTGTGTGTTAATATTTCACAAATGAAATTCATTTACTAAGTACAGTATTCTGCATGAAAATACATTCCATAAATCTACATCAAAGCCTTCAGAGTAGATTTTGAAATGGCAGTTGACCTGTGAAAATACCAGAAGGGGTGTGTATTCAATTGCCATTTCAGCCATATTTCCAAACCTGCCAAATCTTGCATTTAACTTTGTGTGAAAAAAACGCCCCAATTCAGCAGAAATAGAAAGGAAAAACTCAGTTATCTACAAAATACATTTTGTGAACTCCACAGTCCCTCTTCAGGGCTGAATCTGGTCAGAATGGTATTAACAGTCTTCATACAGCCACTCCTACAACACACATTATGCTGAGCAGTGTTAACTGAGGGTGGAGATCACAGCCTCTTTCTCTCCAGTATTCTCCCACAAACTCTACTGATACACTTGCAAAACGAGTGTGCAGTAACCTGATAATGTGTAAAGTAACATTTTAAAAAATATATTTTTCAATTTTTTGATCTGAAAAAAATCACCACCAGGTTTACGGAACTCTACTAAGGAATAAAGCTTACTGATAATAGGGTGCTTTCTGAAGTATCTTCTGAGAAGCCTTGAGATCCACGGAGACCTCAAGATCCATCTACAGAGGCTGAAACTCACTGATATGTAGAAGAAAAATCTGTGTAGTCACTGACCACAAACAATAGGCAGGTCTAGGGAGTTTCTTCATTGAGAAATTTCTCAGTCTTGGCACAGTATCCCATGCAGAGCTTGATTCTCATTAAATTGGGATCTAGGATTTCATTATTAATTTTTTCTTTGGAAAACAAAAATAAACAGGCCAACTTCATTTTTATTTTTAATCAATTTCACTATCTACTTCTTAATTTTGATCCAAGTCCTACCTAGCTTCTTTCTGATATTCAAATACGACCGTTTACCAGAAAAGCCTGCAAAGCCAGAACTGCATTATTTTTGCCCCTCCTCCCAACTTTTGCTCTTTGCATTTATCAGGCCCTAAAAATCCAGCCTGAGTTCCTTTTACAGGAAGAACGGTGGGAGAGGTAAGACACTGTTTTGTAATTTAAGGCATAAGGGCGTTGTCTTTGATGAAAGCAGCCTTTTGTCACAATGCTAATTAGTCACTGAAGTTAAATAGGTGCTTAAAAACCAAGCCAAGAACAGAGAGGTTCAAATTGCTTATTTAACAACCTCTTTCACTCTTGAAAATTACACTTAATAACTCTACTTACAGATACTTTACCAGCATTTTCACGAAGTTTTCCAAGTTTTTTCAGTCTAAACCTAACATACAATTTTCACCACCACAAAAATAATATAAATAGTACTTAAAAAAATAGAACGCCCATCCCTTTACAATAAAATAAACCAGGTTCCCCGTAGGTATTATGAATATTTCCTGCAAACTCAGTTTTTCTCAGGGGAGAGGCAACTTAAGATGCTGGGTGATCTACTATCAAGAACTATAAAATTAAACTCTGATCAATGACAAAGCTGAACTTCAAACATGTTCAACACTGCAAGTAAATAGCTGAGGTTAGGTATACATGAGGTAGCAGGAGGTATCAGAAGCTGAACAGACAGTTCATATTCTAAAACTCGAGTGAACTTACTTGTGGAGGACAGTACAAAGCTGGGAGACCTCTGTTTGTTACTGTTAATGAAGAGAACAAGGAGAGCATTTCTACTCTCCTGCAAAGTGTCCTGGCTCTTGGCAAACTTAATCAGGTTGTGTTCAATTCTATTGTTGAATACGAGTGTCGTTGTTAACAATAAGCCATGGTTGGAGCTGCTGTTTCCAACCCACTTGGAAACCTGGTAGTGATAGGGAAGTGAAATAATATTGTTTCAATATTCCTATTACAGCATTATGATTAAACAATGTTTTTTTTAGGAAAAGGGAACAGGCAACAAGCTATGAGAGTATAAGGACATATATTATGACAGAATTGAGATAACTGTATAGCTGAGAGTCCATTGAGTTTAATATTTAAATCAGTAATTCAGCACTTAAAAATACAAAATGTAAAAATACAAAATATGCATACCCCCAACCTATATTTACAGCAAGATAATTAATGTCACAGAATTTACCAGTGAATAAATGACTGTAAGTATTAATATTAAAATAAACACTTTTTGACCTTCATCTGATATATATTTTTCGTAGCAATCTCAACAGAGTAATATGAACCCTCCAGACTTTCCATATCGTTAAGACTCATTTAAATTTAACAAATGTGGCATTTGAAGAAATTAACTTGCAATCAAGCATATTTTCTTATCTAATTGTTATAATTACAGCCTAATAGATAAGGCCAGGCCATTCTCAAGCAGGAATATCATGACTTAAGATGCAATTTGACCAACCATCCAAGCACACTGTTTAGTCGGATCATAAAGCTTAGGCAACAAAAACCACTGTCACAGAGTACAGTTTTAAACCCCCAAAAATGTTTGTCTTAAACCACGTGTGACTTTTTTTTTTGCCATGGAAAGGCGTTCACCTACCACCGTTACAGTTTATGGGTATCTACAAAACCAATCTTGAAGCTAACAAATAAAGAAGTGTACAGAGAAAGTTAAATGAAAAGCAATCCAAGTAGTATAATAAATTCCAGAAACACAACGTTGAAGTATACTGCTCTACAGAAATGTTGCCAGGATAAGAAGGAGAAATGAAAACTTACTTTTGGTACACAATCAATACCAAATCCTTTGGCAGTCTAAGGACTAACACATTATGGTTTTTATCACAACAACATACTTGGCCTGATGTCCCTCCATCGATTAGGTTTGGGTTACTCAATTCTCACCATGCCTGTGCTGCTAGCAGCATATAAACACTTCTTTAATTCAGGTAGCACCAGATGTACTTCTAAGTGTAGAGAGAAAGCTTCTCCCTCTTCAGTTTGAATTGACCACAAACCTCAGCATAATGGCAATGCTGGTGTTATGGGCTGTCACCTTAAGAGATTTAGAAATAAAGTGAAGTCAGACTTCTCTGCTTACTGTCTGCGTGACATTGAAGACTTCCCAGCCTTCTGTGTACAGGGACAATAATCTTGATGCAATTAGATGTTTTTTCTGTGGCTTACTTCCACTCTCCAAGAGCTCATACACTTCCACCTTGATAACAGCAATACAACAAAACCAATAAGAAATTAATCCAATTGTTCTTCCAGCAAAACAAGAAATATGAAGATTATGCAAATTTCTGCTACATCATAATTGTAATTCTTTACCATCATTATAAATAAGGCAAAAAGTAGGTTTTGGACTGGACAGTTTAACAGAGAAAACAATTATCACTACATACATGTACTTCTAGATGAGCTCAGAGGCAGGATGCCAAACTGTTTGATACTACATGAAAATAACCTGACCATTGCTATTCTATTTTGAACACCTAATACCTTCAAAGTATTCTGTTTCTCCACATCTTTGCCTTCAGGTTTGTAAAAAGTCCCATCCTGCTCTTCACCAGAGAAATATAAACTCAATATCAGAATTCTTATCCTCCCTGTTTTCTTATGAATCCCTGGTTGCTATTATTATTTTTCAGAACAGCTCAAGCAGATAAAATTCTATTCGAATTTGGAAACATCTAAAATCCCAGAAAAGTATGGTATGATAGGTCTGACATTGGTATAGCACAATTAAGTGTTTACCTATTTTACCACTTACTTTGCAGAAGTGTTTCACGTTGGACCTTCTGGACACACGTGCCGTCTTGAGCTTGAAGACCCTGAACTCTGCTTTCAGCATCTGCTCGCCCTTCTCCATCGCGCTGATGTCGAAGTAGAAGTGGTGCTGGTCCACGCGAACTGGAAAAGACCCTCCTTTGGGAACACCGCCAGCCCCGGCAGCACCAGCCGCGTACCCCGCCGGGTCTGTGCCCGTGTGCCGTCGGCCGGGCGGAGCGGGGGCCCCGCCGCGGGCACGGCGGCCGCTCTGCCGTGGGGATTCACCCCCCGCCCCACCTCTGTCCTCGAAGCTCCGCACCACGTCTCCCTGCAGCAGCCCCGGGGCGCGGGTGATGCCGTTGGCGTCGGCCACCTTGTTGAAGAGATCCACCATGAACTGCGGCGGCTTCTTGCGGGGCAGCACGTCGGGCGGCAGCTCCTCGATGTCGAACACCTCCCGCAGCCGCTGCAAAGCCGCCGCTTGCACCTCGCCCCGCGGGCCGGGGGCCAGGGGCAGGGCACTGGCCGCCCGCAGGCTCAGCAGCGCGGCCAGGCACAGGCACAGGCGCAGCGCCGGGCAGGGCGGGCGGGCCGCCATGGACGGCACCGCGGGCAAGGCGAGGCCGCCTCGGGTGCCCCGCGCAGCGCTGAGGGGGCAGCGGCCCTTGCTCGGGCCCGGCCCGGCCCGGCCCGGCTGAGCGCGGCCAGGGGAGTGCGCGGAGCGCCGGGCAGGGCGCGCAGCCCTCAGGGACAGGGGCCCCGGGCATGGGAGGCCACGCCGCGCCCCGGCCATCAAGGGCTCTTAAAGTCTCGATGGGGCATCGCTCGTTGACATCAGAGGGGCCACCGGCCGGGAGCAGGTGGCTCTGGCTGCCGGGGGCAGGGATGGCCAGGGATGTGCGAGGAACACCGCACTCGCGAAAATACTGTCCTTTACATCCACCTTCCACTCGCCTCGAAAAAGGCTTTGATTTGGGCATTGCTGAGCCCAAGTGCTGTTTCCTGTCGTGGCCGCAGCAATGAAAAGTACAGTGGGCCATGGGCGTGAGCCTCGGCACCTCCCAGCCTGTGGAATCCCCGAGCCTCGGGACATCCCAGCCTCGGGCAGCGCCGCCGGTGCGGTCCCCGCTACCAGGGCGGGCTGGGCCGGGCTGCGGGACAGAACCTGCTGCAGTCACCTGAGTCTCCAGCTCCGGCCCTACAGCTGCCCAGGGGGAGGGTTTAGGGACAGAGTCCGGGGTTCTGCTATTGCAGTGCGGCAAGAGCAGCCAAAGTTCGAAGTAATTAAGGATGGGGGGAGGCATACACATTCTGGAGAGCAATTTTAGGGCTTAAATAAATGCAGAGTCAACCAGCTTTGAACAATTTGCTTTTTTCCCCCACCCACTGATTGATGAAGAGGATTCCACCCCCCTTCCTGCAAAAAGCCCCAAAACAAATCCCCATAAACCCCCAAATCCCCCAAACACACCCACTCAAACCTTAAGCATCCTGCATACAAGTCCTTTTGAAGGCAGTCTGGCAACTTAGAGAGGAGCAATTATACATTCCTGATGGTTCATACAGTAGTGCCTGTTCTGCTTGTGACACACTGCACTGTGTTCCCTTTCCAGGCAGGAAAGCAGTGGGAGGCAGGTTGTGGGGCAGGTAGAAATGTCTACTGGCTCCTCTGCTCAGGTGCACTATGTTAGGAATATTTGCACTGAGCAAGCATGTGGATCCATAGGAGAATAAGGTGGAGACAAAGACGCTACAGCTCTACAAATTAGCCGTTTGAAAACAAAGTTTCATCTGGAGTGTTCAAACAGCTCTGACAGAGGAAGTACTCACCTCGCGTCGTCCTAATGCTGAAGTTCCTTGGCCCTTGGCCACTTGGTTCTCCAAACTCCCTCCTACTGTCACTCATTTCGGCCTTCAGCTCTTGTAGCCATGTTTAAAAAAATATAGATAGTTATAAATGCTATGTTTTTGCCTTTCCCCCCCTTTTTTTTGTTTGTTTGTTTTGTTTGTTTGTTTTTTCCACCAAGAGACAAGGCTGCTGATCCAGTTTGCCACATGAGGTGCAGAAGACTAATGGAGGAAAATGAGAAGCAGTGGTAGGTCAATCAGAGCAGCTTAAAAAGAAAACTGTTGCTGTACATAAAGCTTCATCCAACCTTGATCCTCAAAACTCTTTAGTTGTCTTCTAAGGGCTGTAGGCATCTGAATTCATGGCTAACAAATGATGGATGAAGTAATACCCATTCAGCTACCTGCCTGAAAGCACAGGAAGAGACTAGTAAGATATGAGAGATCATCTGTGAGAGACTGTTTCTCAGTCATCCTAAAAGCTTTGCTTCCGCTTCACTGCTTCTTCACACGCTTATCCTCACAAACCCTACCCTGCCCTTGGGTTTCTTAATTTACTCCCAGTACCCTCTCTAGGCATATACCTTCAGTTTTACTCTCATGGTGCTGCTTCCAGACATTAATGTCTGGAAACACATAGCTAGGGTTCCCAAACAACCTTAACTCTGCCCTAGAGGCGAAGATTTATGAAAAAAATCCTCTCTGTTTAATATAAGCTGGGACCACAAACAATGAAATGCCTCAATCGTAGTGCAACTGCAGAAATTCCAGTGTACAGTTAGCCAAACGTAACCCACTGAGTGCTGTGTTCTTTTATTTTCATACTTCTGATTAGGCAAACAACATAATGAAAGCCTCTCTCTCTATTCTTTCCTAAGACTGCATGACTCACCACTTATGTAAGCCTTATGCAGGAGTTGGTCATAGCTCCTCTGATGATACTACGTACTGGTTTGTAATTAGTGCGAGGCTTCAACCTCCCAGTTCTGTACAATAAAAATAGGTTCTCTCAACTTACATGTTGTGAGCAGTGTGGCTTTGGGAGCCCAGGAAAAGCTGGGAATCTCTCAGGAACTATGATAGACAGTTAACAACTTAAAATGTTGGGTGGATTCTCTAGAGTTCAGCATTGGCATTGCTTTCCCTTCTTTCTCTCTCAAATGACTGGATAAAGAGTCTGTAGCCTGAAGAGTTCACAATCATCTGGTTTTCAGGTATAGCTTATGGGTAAGAATGGTAGGATTTATTATATAGCCTGCCACATCCTCTTTGATGCCATTGATTACTGCAGGATGGCAATATTGAAAAAGCACAGATATTGCATGGTATTAGCAGGGGGCAGAACAAAATTTACTTAGGAACTTTCACTGTACATTTTAGAACCTTAGCAAGTTTGGACTTAAAGGCAAGTCCAACCCTGCCATTCAGAAATTAAGAGCTCAGCATATACCCTTCCTTCCTCCATTAGTTTTGTGTTGGCACAAACAATAAGAACTAGTGGGTAGAGAAGGTTGGAAGTTGCTTCTTAACACAGCTGCCTAAAAATTCAAATGTTTTCTGTGCAGGTTCTGTAGTTCCTAGTTTAGTGACTCACAACAGAGCTATTCTTTTTGAGGAAAAAAAAAGATTAGTTTTCTGCTCCCTGAATGCAGCAGTGATACACTGCAGTCATCCCTGGGTTTTTCAGGCAGGGAGTAAGAACACAAGGTTCTTACATAATAGCTGTCTTAGGCCCATTTAAAAAAGAAAAGTGGAATGGCCCTTGTGTGAAAGACGTCAGTCTTCTCTTAAAGATAGTAGAGGCAGCAGAAACAGGGCTACCTGTTAGCAAAAGTTAAGAATTACTAAGGAAAGCTTCATCTTCTATGTCTCAGCTGAAGGCACAGGACTGTACCACATCAGCGAAACTGTGTGAAGTAGGAGTGGTGACATCACCCCAGAGCCCAGAATAGCAATCCCTTGAGGGCTGGGTAGATGGAGAGCCACTGAGTCAGTAAGCATATATTCAGCATTTAGCTTGAATGTTTGAACAGGGAAATTATAAATGGCCCTAAGTAGCAGAGAGTGTTTTTACCATGTATCTAATATATAAATACCTCTCCCAGAGGAGATAAACTCCCAAGTGCAGACTTGCCAGCATATCCTGACTCCTAGACATGTGCCCTATGCAAGCCCTTCAAAGACTGGACTCTCAGCAGTTTTGTATGAGAGTTTTGTAAATTAGAGTTGCTGAATTAATAATCTAGACAATAAGATGCCATATTACCTGTGTTTTTCCAATCAGGACTTCATACTGTGCTATAATTTCCTGAAGCATTTTTGAAGAAAGATGTATTGCTTCCCCCAGATGACTGTATCCATCAGATGGAGAAACCAATGCAGTATGCATTATAGTGCTGCATCCAAAGTCACCCAGAGGTTTATAGCAGGAGAATCCAGAGATCCCTGCTTCTAAAAGACCAAGCAGGTAGATTATTCCATACTTTAAATCATCTCAGCAACTATGTTACCTTATTTAAAACATGAGGAAAAATTAGGAAGGAAATAAATGATTTCTTGGCCCATACATTGAGAGTAAGCCAAATTTTGATGCTGTTGTTACAGGGCCTCTTCACATTTAATTTTTTTCACCATCTTTATATATGATTTGAGAAAGCACAGCCACCACCCGCACAAGACACACTGCACCATCCTTTCTTGTTGAATCACTGGAATATGGTTGTTCTTCAACACCTCCTCCATCAAAGAGAGAAAATCGCCTAAACTGTAATTATTAGATTTTACATAGGAATCACACCAATATGCAAAAAGAATCCAAGTCAGATACTATTCCACCAGTTTAATTATCCATCTACTCAGATCCTTCTTTTAAAATTAAAATTATCTTATGTTGAAGAAAAAGAAAAGAACAAACATTAATCAAGTTACTGTTTTCTCTAAGATTGTTTTGTCAAATTAGTTGCTTAAGCTACTGTTTCCTGTGACAGCTTTCCCTGAAGGATACATCCTATAATAATAACTTTCACACTGCTCTTTCTAGTAATCTGATGCCTGCCTGGATATCTCCCTCACTGAAAAAGTATGATAATACCATTATATGTGTATAATTTTTGATAGATCTGAATGTGTAACACTTAAAAATCTATCAGAAAATTCCCTCCCTCCCCACCAATGCTCTTATTTTCCAAGTTACACAGTATATCATTTACTTAACAGATTTTGCGTATCTGCTCTGTCTTCACAAATGTAAAACTTTTTATGAAGAACAAAAGTGAAGAACAAAAATCCCATCAAATAATTCTGAAAATCTTCTCCCTTCTATTGTAGCTTCTTGAAAGACAGAGAGCTGCACTACTAGAAGACAGTAAAAATTAGACAATCTTGGAATCAAAAGAAAAGTTGACCTTATGATTTGAATACAACTGTCTGTAGGTAACTGTCATCTGAAGCCAAAACTTGCAGATTTAAAAGCCCACTTCTCTATCCTCTATTTGGGAGGATAACGTTTGTTATCTGCAGTAGACTCAATTCTTCACATGGTGCAGCCCTTTCAGAAGAGGCTGAGCCACAGACTGAAGCTGGGAATTTAAAAATACTCCTCTCAATTTTTAATCACCATTTCTACCTATCTATCCATTCATCATTTTACATTTCTTTTGTAGTGAGTCATTATAGTCCAGAAGAGTCAAAGGGCTACAGCCTTTAGGAGAGTCTCTTTTCTCTAGGTCAGAATTCAGTTTTTATACCAGAGATGTGTGGGTTGGCTATACATGTCAGTAAAAGGATGAACAGAGGAGAATAAACATCTGGAATTATGTAAAAGTAGGGTAGCATGGGGCGAGAAAAAAATCTTAACAAACAAGTGGTTTTTTTTTCACCTCTCTCTTTCTAAATATGGTTTGAAACCAGAAGGAGCAATTATGATAAGTTTTAACTTCTGCTGTT